GCGCGCGGACAGAGAGGAGATCGCGCGGCTCGGATAATAACAAGGCAACGAAAAAGAGAGAAGGAGGGCGTTCTTCCCCAATCCAATGTATACATATATACGAGGGGGTCGAAGTCGTCGTCGGCAGCTAGCTGATAACCTCGAGTAGAGAGTCTCCCTCCCTCAACCCGGAGAGGGAAGAATATTCGATATTAACTTTTCCAAAGAATAACATTGACGGAGAAGAGGTCCCATCCCCTTTGGCACAGCTCGGAAAAAACTTTCCCCCTCCCCACGTGATATCAACTTGGAAAAATTAAAATAGTTTGCAAATGCGGGGAGATCGGAAACTGTATACCTGGCCGAGTTGTAAAATCACAATGGCCCGCCGGCATTTGCATAATATTACGAGACGACGAAAAGCGAGCTCTGGCGTATCCACGTGGCACTCTTTCAATGGAACAACCATACCCGAGCTCATCTCGTTGGGAGGTGGCGCCTCGTTTGTGGACACAGGGAATATCACCTCCGAGCGCGGGCTAATAATTTTCCCACGGCAATTAAACTAATCCCACTTGGCTTCCCTCCCGAGCAACAAGCCGCCGATACCGAGCTCAACGATCACGCCGAGCCAGATAGAGAAAATCCAGCAGCTGCTGCGGCCACAGATCCTGATCGTGGGCTCGTATCTAAATTGTATCGGTGAGCCCCAGCAGGACTCACGAGTCCTGCTCGCTCTGTAACCTTCGCTACGTTTATGTACATGAGAAAACCTTTCGCTTCCGTACCTTGATTCTACGGGCAGCTACGGGTGTCGACTCTCGCTGCTTTCGTCCTGATTTTGGTTTGGAGGCTCGGCTTGTACGAGCGATCGAAGACGTTAAACTGGTGTAATTACCTACTCCGGGGAAGAAAAGTCCGCATCGGCGACTCGTCAAGTTTTTATAGGCCAGTGACAAAGTGCAAGTGAATCGTAAAACCCAAGGAAAAAGGAACAATCAAAACCCCGACGCCGAGACTTTAATTAGTTTTAACGCCGCGACAGAGGATCCTCGTGGATTTGAACAAACTCCTCTGTCACTTTTTTTTTTTTTTTTTTTTTTTTTAACAAACTGTACGTTAGTCTTGTCTCGTTTTGTTCTCTCCGAATGCACGTCATGGCTTGTTGAACACCAAAATAAGTCAGGTGTGACGAGGGTGCTCCGAACGTTGAGCCTGTTGGGGGTGGAATTTAATTAGTCGAGGAAATTTCGGGGCAATAAAACCCGCGGAAGCGCGTCTCTCGAAACTGGGTCTCGCCCATGATTTTTCTTCAAGCCATAATTTCGGCTCTTGGTTGCCCCGGGAAGAAGCTCGTCAAGTGTAATCAGAATAAGCATAACGGGCGCATCAAACGCAGCGTCGAGGTAAAAGCGAGATAATGTACTCGGATAAAGCTCCTTGTCCTTGATCCCCCGTTCTCAGCTTTTTTTTACACATCGGTGATGGAAGAGCCTATCGGAGGAGCTTCAATTTCTCTCGGGAGGGAGCGGAAGAAACGAGAGCTCCGTGTATATATATATATACGACACCGAGAGGGGCTTTTGTAAAGAGAGAGAAAGGGCCGCAGTGGCTCGAGGAGCCGCGGGAGAGTGGGGGTATATATACGTAAGAGTATTGCACAGAAGAGCTCCATTCGAATAAGCAAACTCCTCCGCGAACGAGAGGGAAAGATATCCAGCTCGACTCGATCCCTGGGAGAATCACTCTTGTACAAAGTGGATCCACGCGACGCGTACGCGAACGAGAGCATTTTATTTTCATAATACAACTTTGGCTGATTAACCGAGATATGAGAGAACTTTTTTCTTTTCTTAACAGGCTACACTGTCGACTAGTGATACAAAAATTGCTAAGGTCAATAGGTCCCAGTACTCGCTCACTTTGTTCTTTCATAGGTCTTTGCTATATTTTCAATTGGGTATACACGTTACTTTGTATTAAAAAAGTAATCGAATAGTGCCTGAACAACTACCCAATTTATCAATATGTTTTAAAAACTCACATTGGAATAATCAGCCAAACGACATATTAAAAGCATACAAATACTCGATCTAACGTAGCTTTGAATAAGGACACCCAAAGAAAGAATTTAAAAAATTACTCAACGGAATTACCGAACATCCTCCGAACGAAGTAGCAGCACTTCCTTCCGTCCTTTCTCCTCCGTCTCGGTGTCCCTGCAATTAATTCTGTCATTTCATGCGTGCGCACTCCTTAAAAAGTCCTTCGAGAGAAGCCGCTTTAATTTACTTTAAAACTTAGTGCTCCGCGCTCTTTTTTTTTTCCCACCTCCTGGCTCCCTTTTATTCCCTCCGACCCTCTCGGATTCCGTTAATAGATGCCTCCGTGTGTCGCTACAAGGCGCCCCCGCAAGCCACGAGCAAATCCGCTTAAAATTCTTTGTTTCGTCGCTAACTTTAACGCGAAACTCTCCCCCTACCCTCGTATTCGTCTTCCTTAACTTGTACTTCTTCACCCCCTCCCGTTCCTCGAGTCATTCCGATTTTTAGCGTCGGGACGAATTCCGTGCGAACGAGCAGAGTCCGCATCCAACAGGCGGCAGCGAAGTTTTGCGACGTGGAAGAGGGACGACGCTCGCTCCTTCCGTCATCGCCGAATAGCTCTCCGCGGCTGCCTTTCTTAAAAACGTCGACCGAGCGCGCGCCAGTGAAAGAAGGAGACAGCTAAAGATCGCAGCGAGGGGGAAGGAAAAAAAATCACCGGGGTGGAAAATTCTTCCTCTCGTGGAACAAGAGCGCCATGTATGTACCTCCACCTCCGTCGACTCAGCTTTTTTTTTTTTTTTTTTTGCTCGCTCTTCTTCTTCCTGCTTCGGTTTCAAACAAAAGACAATGTACCACTACCTGCCTTTGCAAAACTCTGATGAATATACGATGATTAAACGAAAAACTATGGAAATCAACGCTTGTTCTCGAATGCCATTACGAGTGTTTTTGGGTGTAAAAATTTATTGAGAACAAGAGCCGTATTTAGCTAAATGTGCACCCTCGCGCCATCATCCCGGAAACTGGAGCGCATCAGGAAGATCAACAGGCGCACAATAAAAGCTAATAACGCCGGCGAATTTACCCCTCCCCCCTCCCCTCCTCCACAACCCCTAGGGTCACAAAAGGAAGCCCCCCTCTCTCGTCCATTTAATCATTCCACTTTATCATTTTCATTCGACTGAAAATGAATTCCTCTCCGCTGTTGGTGCTACTGCACGCGCAAAGTGCAATCGCACGTCTGCGACTGAATGGATGCATGCGTGTAAAGAGTAGTGGGAAAGGGAGGAAGGGGGTGAGAGCCAGCTCGAGGGGAGTAGACTGTAGCGCCTAGTGGATGTGCGTTACGTCGCTCGTAAAATCGAGCGGATTGCAGAGTGAGAGCCGAGAGTAAAAGAATATTCTCTTTCTCTCCTCTTCTTTTTCGTTTTTTTTTTTTTTGCACGCGTACGTATACCCACATACTTCATCTCCATCGCCGACTATGGCTCGGTCTTTCACCGGCGTAGCGCCTACTTATTCCGACATGAAACTCTTGGCATTTATCCTTCCCTGCATCTGGTCTCTCGTTTTGTGCACCAGTGCATCTGTAAAACGAGGCAGACAGAGAGAAAAATTTGGGGTGGCCGTGTCTCGCTTCCTCTTCCGACCCAGAACTCGCATTGTGGTCAAGGACGATTAGGTGCGAGCGTAAACGTTGCATCTGAATAAAGTGTGTACGACACTCGGCAACCCTAAAAGTGCGTATGCATACGCGTTACAGTAACAAAGTGCGCCCTGAAAGTGGACGGTGGCGCGCACAAAGTTTACGCAATGAGCCGAGCATCGGCGATAATTGATGGGTTTCACGAGATAATCATGCCTCCATTTATTTGAGATTTACCCTCGCAAAGATAGAGGGACACCCTTGTCTGTATATTTCGTTTGAGTGGTAGAATTGCAATCGATTTTTAGAAGTAACATTCGTGAACGACCGTCAATGGTGATAATTTATTATTGTACAGTCAGAGTGACGCGTGGTGTATGTTTATTAATTATAAATAACCAGTCTCGAGGTAACTATTTATTTTGACCGATGCCTGGTTCTCGTGCGTAGCGCGCGAGTCTTCCCGAGAGGGATAAACAGTATCAGCGGCTTCCTAGTGCCATCAATGTCATGCGCACGTATCCCATCTGAAAATGTCCCAGCAGACAAAGAGAGTCCGTCTGTGCCGTTCATATTTCATCCCACCCTCCTTATCAATTTCTTCGCGCGACTCGTGCCCTTTTTTCCGCTGGATCTTCCGGTCCATCGCTGTACCGCCATTACGCGCCTCAGCTCGGCGAACTTGTGGCCCGGGGAGGAAAAAGAGAAAGGAAGCAAGTAAAAAGAAGATGGGGAATCGTTAGTCGGACCGTCCCCCCTTTCCTCCCCCTTTCGCCGCATGGTAAAGCTGACCGACGGGTTTCTTCGTTGTCTTTTAATTATTTTCCTTTGCTCCCACGTTGACTTTTCAAATCGCTTTTTCTCGCTGTATATAGGTACTACTAATCGCTCCCATGAGAATTTAAGCGATGGAATTGTCTCTTTGTGGAGAGGGAGGGAAAAAAAAATTAACGAGGCGAGAATGGTGCGAGAGTTTTGCGGTCAAAGGTATGGAAAATGGAAGAGGAGGGGGAAAAAAACCAGGGGATTAAAAGTTTGGGCAATCTTAAGGGCTTCTTTGTCAACTAACAATGGCACTGACTTAATGAGTACGTGCTGTTGAGGAATCGTCCATCACCTTTCCCTTCTTCCTTCCTCGCTTTATTGTCTTTTTTTTTTTTTTTTTTTTTTTTTTTTTTTTTTTTCCGGTCGTACCACTCTTTTCGCGTTAATTTTAAGTGATTCCTAATGAATACCGTGTTGGCTCGACTCGAAAAGTGTTGACTTTAGACTAAGGCAATTGGTACATATTAACGTTACAAAGTGCGTTTGTCTTCCTTTTGTTGCAGATGGTGACGAGGACAAAGAAAATATTTGTTGGCGGGCTTTCAGCGCCAACGACGCTGGAGGACGTCAAAAATTACTTCGAACAATTTGGCCCGGTAAGTACCCTTTTTGTTCTCCTACTATATTTAAATTGGGGAAAAAAAAAAATCAACATTTTTGTTTCGCAATGGTTATTATTCTACCGAAACCAGATACTCCCCTCAGTTTTTATAACCAATTCTGATTGTTCACCCAAACACAGTAGCATCTGTTACCTACCAAGTGTACGAACAGGTGTCGTACTCGCAATGAAATCAATGCTACGTGTACGTTTATTCGAGTAAATCCATACCTACTGATCGAACTTTGGTTGTGTACATCTACTGTAATTGTATAACACATAATGGAACGATTAGGCCATTTATATGACGATCAATTGTATTATTATGTTCCAGTCAAGGCTTTTTCAATTGCATTAGTTTGGACAAACAATTGTGTCAACTCCCGTGAGAACTTGTATAATGTGATTAAATAAATAAAACATCAAACGTACACTATTGTCTCTTGGTTTGACTCAATACCAAGTAATTATTATCCAATGTTGAGTAAAAAAATATTTGGTCAATGGAGTAGTGAACCAGGCAATCTAAAAAAAACAAAAAAGAAAATGTATTTTTTTTAAGCATTGCAATAATGTTCGAAGCTTCATTAAACTAAATATTCTCAATTACTTAACCATCAGCAAACTAATAGTATTACATTGCACGATTCGCGAACAAGTATGGCGAGCTTAAAAGCAAATTCAGTATAATTGGCAGATCACTGTCAAAGAACTTTTTTATCGAAGAAACTTGCGGTAGCTCTCAGTGCCGGTACACACTTACTACCGTGCAACATGAGAAATTCTAGCACGAACGGCTCGAGTATCGAAAGCTCTTCGTTGGAATATCTTGATGTTTCAAAGAGAATGCACGACTAACTGAACGCGCCCCAGAAAAGTATAGGTACACGACGATTGGGAATTAATGCTCAGGCGGAAAGCGTAGGATGCATCGTGGATACCTCGAATGCGTTGCACCAATGAGGATGTTCATCGATTAGGTACTTTGGCCAATGAGAGCCCTTACGCGTCATCTCCCAATAGGGTTTATTTTCGTTTGAAAGAGAGTTAGAGAGAAAAAAAAAAAAAGGAATTTTTGCAAGGTAAAGTGTGATGATGGAATTTCCCAGTTTGCTATGTCCAACCTTATCTTTTCGATTTTAATGAGACAAAGGACTTTGTAATCAACTCTCCTTTGTAATGCGTAACGAGACTATCCAAGGACATTTTGTATCATAATTTACCGCAAAAGTTTTACCGTATTTCGTGACTAAATTGTTTTGTGAAGGTATTTCTCATTGCATTTAATTTATTGCTCAGCCACGCTGTTTTCGCGCAATGTACAGTGCTCCACCCTATGAGAAAGATACTTGTGTATAGTTGTACATTCTCTTTAAAGCATCAAGTGAATTTTGAAGAGTACTTTTGTTTAGTTTGAGCCCCGAAAAATTGGCAATAACTCGCAAACGCAGTGGATTCGTGGAATTTGTGTTAAAAAATGCGAAACAACCCCTCCCGGAAACAAACAAAAAAAAAAAAAAAAAATCAACGGAGAGCCGACACCAAAACGCGGTCAAACACACATACACGCGCAATCTCCCTTTCGCTCTCGTATCTCTTCTCCCCCAGGCGAGCATAAAAAGTTTCGAATTTCCACGCACCCTCTGCGCACCACATCCAAAATGAAGCTCCGAGAGAGCCACACGTGCACGCACATGAATGCAGATACGATCGGCGACCATTATCATCAGCCTCGCCCTCCTCCCTCGTGTTACGCGACGACCTCTTCGTCATTCAAATCTAGAAAAAAAAAAAAAAAAAAAAAAAAACAGACTACACTTCCGTTAGTGCGTAGAATGAGATTCTTCTCGACTCCTTATATCACACAGTACATTGTCTACGCGTATAATATGCCCTGTCCTCGGCCCTGTCCCTTCGTGTAATTCGAGGTCCTTCGTAACCTTATATCGGCCCTCTCCGCTAGTCGTCTCTTTGTTCTCCCCGCGCTTTTCTTTATTTTCGCTCCCCTTCTATTTCTTTTTTCCTTCCTTTGTGCTGCGCCACTACAACTTGGCCATGACGATGCGTATCGTGGCTTCTTACACGCAGACTGTTTTTTTTTTTTTTTTTGCCTTTGGGGTACTGAAATTTTAATGGTAAATATGTACCTTTATTTCGAGGCTTATGAATAAAACAACACTGTTTACAAGTTGCTCGTAAATTATTCAAATAGTCATTCTGATGCTCGTACGAGTACATGACTTAGTTGTGGGTCGGTAAAACCCAAAAGTTTCTAGAATTGATTGAATTTTAATTTCAAGGTGTTATTTTAGGGGGAAAAAAGAACAAGAATAACCAAACAAATTGAATCATTAACTATTAATTTCTTATTTGCCAAGGATACTTTAAATTGAATATAAACTTCGTGGTGGGAAAGCAGGTCAATTCCAGGATAACGATGGAACAGCCAGTAAGTCGGTCACTATTAAAATTTTTACGTCCTTACGTTGACATTTAAACTTTTCGTAATTTCATTCATGTTAGTACATACTTTTTTTAACCCACATCATTAGCGGGAAAAACTAATTCTACGTCAAACTCGTGAATAAAATTTTAAAAAGTCCTGAGAAACGTCATCAACAAAAGTACAAAAGAGCGAGCGTTAATTCAAAAAATTTCCAAGCCACGGCCGTACATTTTCGACGCTGAATAAGTTTTTATCCTTAAAATTCAAATGGAATGTTAACAAAAGGAACAAAAAAAAAAAAAATAAATAAAAAAATAAAAAGTCCTGAAAAAACCTTGCTCAGCATTTTGTGAAATACCCTCGTAATTAATAGCACAGCAAAGGTAGCCGCGCGCAGTTGCAGCGTCGTAATTTTTGCAATGCATCATCAGACCTTTTCCCCCTTTATTCCTCCTTCCTCGTCGGTCTCTCTACTTTTCCATCTCCGCGCTTAGCGACCCGAATCCCCTTACAATGATGATCATCGCCGTCTATTGTTTAATCGTGTACGGCAAAGCGGACACTCTCTCTTGCTCACTTGGGCTTCTTTTTTCCCGAGAAAAGAGAAAAAAAAAATACCCCTTGCGCTCGGTCAGCAACAGCAAGCCCTCAGGGCTCGTAGAGCGGCAAATAAATAAATTTAACGATGCTTGTCACGCTCGCAAAACAGGATAAATTCCGGGCATCTGACGGCCATTTAAAACAATGCAACAGTGAGTACAAGGTACACACATCATTCGTAACCACACGGTGGCCACCCTTGCACCTATACTCATGTACTTCTCGTTGTTGTTTCTCCACGACCCCTTTTTTGCGTGCACACGTCCCGTCATCTTTAGAGTTCGCCGTCCGCATGAGCTTTTGTTTTCCTACCATCCCTCCCAAATTTTTATCAAAAATTCCCCACCCCCCTCCTTTTTCCGAGTGGTCAACCGTGGCAGTACGAGGGTGATAATTTTTTTGGGGGGGTCTGATAAAAAGGTCATTAGCACCCTACGCGCCTCTCGAGCTGTTTCGTTTTACGAGCTCATTACGTCGCCCCTGTACAATATACCTGCCGCGTGTAATCTACGAAAATACGCTCGTAACAATTTTACGATCCTTGAATTACACGGGGGCGAGTCGACTCACGCGAGCTCGTACAGCTACATTGACTCCAGTGTCGCCCTTGATTACGATATTTTTTTATCGGCAGCGCTTGGAAACACCTGGATATACCGTGTATTATGTATATACATATGGTTAGCGATACTCGTTATCACCCGTCCAACGATTTAGAACACCGTTTTATTTATATTATTCTACCAAAATCGGTGTACCACACAGCATTTCACGCCGTGGAGTTCAGCAACGTTGGCTTCTTCTTGAATAATCAGCCACCAAATTCACAAATACGTGACAATGAGCAAATCCCGTAATTGGCCCCGCACCTCTATAGTACACGCGTCAAATTATCATTCATACGCCACTCGTACCTCGGAATCCCGTGGCATCGTACATCGGCGGTATTGTCAAAAAATCAGATCCACCACTCCCTCCCGTCTCATTTTTTTTACTACCCCTCGACGTGCGCCCTATCTGCGCAATAAATCGCATTCCGATCATCGCGAGGGTAGTCTCCGAAATAAATTAGAGGCACGGAGAGAGTCTGCGAGAAGAAAAGGAGAGAAAGGAAGACGTATCTATTACCGGCTCTCCGTATACACACGCAAGACGCGCCACGGGGTGAGAAAAGGCACGCGCCCCGTTCCTCGGTGTCTCGCTTTTTGGCAGGGGCGTCGCGTGTGCAATGAAATTTATGAGAGCCCTTTATTCCGGCACTTAGGGGAGGGTCCCTCGCGACTTAAGCTCGAGAAATTTATTAATTTCCCCGTGTTTTGCCCCCCCCCCTAGCCGACACCACCCCTTCTTCTCTCCTTTGGTCTTTTAGGGCATCTAAGACGCTGGCTCCTTTCCGGCGGGGATCATTGATTAGAAGCCATTGCGCGCGCGATACCTCCTAACCGGACCTACTTTGATTCTGTGAGCCGTGAAAAATCGCAGCATCGATGCCGAGGCTTTGGAATGAAATCAAAGTGAGACGGAGCTGTAGGTATACATACATATTTATGTTGCTGCGATGCAAGGTATAAAAGGCTGGAATGTATACAAGTACACGCGACACGCACGAGAATCACGCCTCGGCAACATTTTTCGGATTACCCTACACGGCACAGCATCTGCCGCTGCGAGGTCAAGCCCTCGCGCAATGCTACAGCACTGACAGAGAAAAGTGGTTTTCGGGGATGAGGTGGTGGAGGCGAACTTTGTCACTGCCGTCTCTATGTCGCACTCGCTCGCCAAGTATAGGAAGAGGAGAAACGGGGGAACAGTCACAAGTAGCACGTGTGCTGCAGGTCACGTGTATACGTACATACAGGTATAAGCACTGCGTGGGCTTGTCGCACCTTTTGTCCGGGTGGTGTGTAAGCGTCATTAGCGTCAGCCCCTGTAATGAGCGCCCCAAACCA